TTTTGCAGCATGCATTAGTCCTGCTGATATAAATGCTGAAGAAACTCTCAACACCCTAAAATATGCCAATCGTGCTCGTAACATCCGAAATAAACCTATTGTAAGTAATCCCAAGTGTTTCTAAACTCCCCAGATGACACTTGCAATTTTCATCCTATTGGGATTGACTCAACTTCTTGCTAAAAGATTCATTGGTTTGCTTGATGATCAGATTAATAGAGATCCAATATCCAGTGAGATGCTTAAGATGCGTCAACAGTTGGAATATCTACAGGCCGAACTTTGTGCCCGTGGTGGAGGAGTTTCATTTGATGAAATACAGGTAAAGTGCAACATTTGTGTCCTTTTTTTTTTTCATCCTTTTGTTTATTGAAGTCCTATTTTGAAAATATTTTAAGTTCGTACTAGAACTCTATAGCTTTAAGTTAAGTTTCAATAGGGCTAAAATATGTGCAGGTTCTAAAAAATAGAATTACTTGGCTAGAGGCTACTAATGAGGAGTTGTCTCGGGAACTCAACAAGTTTCGTAATGGAAGTGATTGCATGAAGCTGCAGGAAGCCGAAATTAAAGTACGTAAGTTGTCATTAGCAGGAAATATTCACTCATATGTGATCACAGTATGTTTAAATGTGAAACGAGATGATAATATTTAAATGCGTTCGAGGTTAAAGTGAATGTGATCTATTTGCAGGCTTATGAAGGTGGTGCAATCAAGGGTGATGGTCTCAAAAGAGGGTTGCAAAGTATGGAGTCATCTGATTATAAAATGATTGAAGGTTCCACTAGAGCTACCTTCCAGTTTGATTTTCTATTTCTTAAACTAATGCGACTGAGTGGACTTAAATTCTTTTATAATTTATTACAAACAAAATCAAAAAAAGAAAAAAAAAATGTGGATGGAGACGAATCTGTACATTTTGGCTGATTTGATATGCCATTCATTATTTGCAGGTGACTCTGAAGATATCGATGAAGATACAGCAAAAGAGTTGGAGCATACTTATTTGCAGAATAGTATGGATCAAGAACTGAGCGAGTTAAATCGACAATTGGAGCAGAAAGAGGTATTTTTTTAGTTATCTGATTTCAATTTCTGTACAAACACATCCTGTTCTGTTTCCTTTGTTTCCTTAGTATAAGATAATGAATTTATTGTGCATGTAATAGTAATCATGTAGTATGTTCAATGTTCTTGCATAGAACTGCATACAAAAAATGTTTAATGCTGTCCTATAATGAGGATCTTGTGGACTTAACATTTAGTACTTATGCTGTAATCTGTAATCGAGGGGTATTGGTTGTTTTGCTCTTCTTCATTTTGTCAGTTTTCCTGCTCAATCATTAACATTAACTCCAAATAAATTTAGAAGATGATGCTGACATGATGTATTTTTTCTTGCATAAAACTATGTATTTGCAGTCACAGATGAAACTTTTTGGAGGATATGACACCACTGCTTTAAAGCAACACTTCGGGAAGAAACTTATGGAACTTGAGGAGGAAAAGAAAACAGTACAGGTCATCATGCAATTAGAAAACTGAACAATTTCCCTGATTATAGGTCTTCGAAAAGAAAATCTAAATTATCATCTTTTATTAAACTGCTTCCTGACAATATTTAAACATTATGCAGCGGGAAAGGGATCGATTGTTAGCAGAAGTTGAAAATCTTTCTGCTAATTCTGATGGACAGGCACAAAAATTGCAAGACATGCATGCCCACAAACTAAAAACACTTGAAGCCCAGGTTTTCCCATTTTACTTGTTATTTTCCAACATCATAATTCTTGTATCATTAAACTACTATTAGTTTGTCACATTATATCCTTTAATAATTTTTAAAAATTCTTGCACATCAGATACAAGATCTTAAGAAGAAACAAGAGAATCAGGTTCAACTTCTGAAACAGAAACAGAAGAGCGACGAAGCTGCTAGAAAGTTGCAAGAGGAAATACAGTGCATCAAGGCACAAAAAGTCAGTTTGCTTTCCCTTGTATTCATATCTCACATCAATATATATGTATATACATATATGCATAAGTGTATAGTCTGTCAAATGCTTATTGTACTATTGTGTTTCGGTTTTGTAGGTTCAACTGCACCAAAAGATAAAACAAGAAGCTGAGCAATTCAGACAATGGAAGGCATCTAGAGAAAAGGAATTGCTGCAGGTAATATTTATGCGGCAAACCATTTCTCCCCAAAACGACAGTATGCTTTGGATTTCCAATGTTTTTTTCCCCTTTTCCTTTTAAACAAAGACCCACTTCGCTCCCCTCAAATTTTATATCGGCATATAATGTTCACACACAGTTAAGGAAAGAAGGCAGAAGAAATGAATATGAAAGGCATAAATTGCAAGCATTGAATCAACGCCAGAAAATGGTTAGTATCCTTTTTTTCTTTTAAGTTGATGAACTTATTTTCTGCAATGAAGTGCATTAATGTAGTTATCAAAAGCCCGCTAAACCTGTTTTTATTTGCTTCAGGTTCTCCAGCGAAAAACCGAGGAAGCTGCATTAGCTACCAAGAGGTTGAAAGAGCTCCTCGAAGCACGTAAATCATCAACTCGCGACAATGCAGGTAGGTCTTTCTCGAATATGTAAACTATTTGTCCAGAACAACAGATGCATAATTTTTTTTGATACTGAAGTTATACCTTTTTTGCAGTCATTAGCAACGGAGTTGGAACAAACGGGCAGGTTAGTCCTCTTATTCTCTTAAACTAAATAATCCATTTTGCTTACCTATTTGAACGAACCATATAAAAACCTGTACGTTGAATTTTGCAGGGCAATGAAAAATCATTGCAACGTTGGCTTGATCATGAGCTAGAAGTTATGGTGAACGTTCATGAAGTTCGATTCGAGTACGAGAAGCAGAGTCAAGTGTAAGTACTATTTTCACAATTCCATGTTATTATTGTTTTTGAGTTCTTTAATATGCTTGTTTATCTTTGATTAAGCCGATCACAGGAATACACTTGGAAATATTCACATTATTTTGTTTGTCCCCTTTTTTTTTTCCGGTCTTGTTTGCAGACGAGCTGCACTAGCTGATGAATTGGCTGTTTTAAGGCAAGTTGATGAATTTGCTTCAAGAGGTGTTAGCCCTCCAAGAGGCAAAAATGGTGTTTCTAGGTTTGTAATAATTCGTATATCTTTTTCTTGTTTTTTTTTTTTATTTTTATTATTATTATTATTATTATTAGTATCAAAGTGTCACTTCCTCCTTATCACAATGGATGGTTCATCTTAATTTTATGAGACATTCAAAAAGCTACGCCTATGGTTGATTCTGCTTCAAATCATTGTGAGTAAGCTGAATATTTTCATGAATCTAAGTATTGAAATGGTTTTTTTCAATGAAATCTAGGGGACAGAATTGAAGGTCAAGTTTTTTCATTTCTTTTCCATTGTGTTTTTTCACAAGTTGAAACTCCTTCATTTTCGTTTGTAGACACTATAAGCTTGTGGATGGTCTTTAATATTTTCATTGCTTCTTTTTTTTTTCTCTCTCCTTGTCAGAGCATCTTCAATGTCACCAAGTGCAAGAATGTCTAGAATTGCTTCTCTCGAGAGCATGTTAAGTATATCTTCGAATTCACTAGTTGCAATGGCTTCACAACTTTCGGAAGCCGAAGAACGTGAGCGTGGCATTAGCAACCGCGGACGTTGGAACCAGCTTCGCTCTATGGGAGATGCCAAAATCTTGCTCCAATATATGTTCAATTATCTTGGTGATGCAAGGTACACTACAACTTTAAGGGGAAAGAAACGAAAAAAAAAAAAGCTACCCAGAAATTATATTTTCCACAATATTATAAGAGCAATGGGTGACAAATACAATAGAAGTTTATAGAAACTTAGTATGAGAGTCTAAAAAATATCCATTTATGAGATAATAAGTTTGAGGGATGTTTAAAATGAAATAAACTCAAAACAGAAATTCATCTGTATGGAACTTTTAGGTGTGAATTGTGGGAAAAAGAAATGGAAATCAAAGAGATGAAAGAGCAGATGAAGGAAGTTGTTGGCATATTACGTCAAAGCGAACTCAGGAGAAAAGAAGTGGAAAAAGAGCTTAAATATAGAGATAA